CACGTTGTTCGATCGACGAACTTGTCGAAGGAATCCAAAGGAACAGAAACACCCACTCGTCGTCGTCATTTGTCGAATAATAAGGTTGCGTTCGTACAGAACAGCAGGTATAGCACAGGTGCGTTCAATTTTTACGATAGTTCAGCCAGGTAGAAGGGGAGAGGGGGAAGGTTCGCAGCAGTCGGCGGGCAATCCTCTTGCTGATAACGAAATTTCATCGGGCACAGAAGTACACACCGCTACTGTTACGAAATTACCAGCGGAGAGGCGAGTTGTCGAGTAAAAGTTTGCGACGGGCAATGGACGGCGAGCGCGCGCCACTGGCGCTACTATATAGAGCGGCTTGAAGAGAGGGGGGGGGGGGCTTGAAAAAAGATCGACTCGCGGAGACACGAGCGCGCCGCTGGTCTCCGGTAGAAAAGGAGTTGGGAAATAAAGCTGGCAAAAAGAGGTCGAGTCCCGTTTGCAAGCAGAACCAAAAGAGAGAAGCTCGGGGACGACAGTAGAGTCTGATAAGGTATTCTCGCTCTACACGAAGACTGCGCGAAAGATTGCTTTGACAGTTTGCGCGTCTGTCTCCCGGCGGAGCTATCTCACTCTCTCTCTCTCTCTCGCTCTGTCTAGTTGTCGCCTAGCGTCAGCTTTCTCTGAATACCAGCGCGCATCGGGAAAATGCTGGTGCTGGTGGTGGTGGTGGTGCTGCTGCTGCTGCTGCTGCTGCTGGCGTGGGTGTGGTCCGCGCGCGTCTCATACATAAACAAGAGATCGGCCGCTAGCGTGTACGCTCGCGCGAGCGAGTGCGAGCTGCTTCAAAAGAAAAGAGACGCGCGCACGCTGTAGCCAGGCAGGCAGCTCCATTATGTAGAGCACATCCCGACGAGTACTGCTCTCTGTGCCGCTCGCGCTATAAAGAATACTAACGATATGGCTTTCTCTCTTCCCGCGTGCGCAAGCGACACCCCCCCCCTCCTCCCGCCGCCCATCTCGTTCCTCGTTCTTACTTTGCTTAGCTAGCGAACGGCCACCCTGCATCTCCACCCTCTCGTCGTGCTCCTTTTTCTCTCCGCTCTTACTTCGGGCCAACTTTCTCATTTGTTCGCGCGGGCTTCGTTTTTTCCTTTTCCGTCCTTCGGCTGATCAAAGTTGAGCACAGTCTTCCTCGTTACAAATAAAGATGGAAGAAAAAATCGGCGAGTTAAGCTTTTGCGCGCGAAAGGCTGGGTCAAGAGATTTCCATTGAGAAAGGAACGATGGTGAGAAGAAAAACCTCTTGAAATTTGGTGTAGTCGTATTGTCTGAATGTTAGTCTAGGAATAACCGATACGCTCTCACGGAATCTGACTTCTGGCGTTCCGAGAGAGCAAGAGCGAGCAGTGCCGCCTACTCCCTTGTGATGTGTCACTTGAGTCGGAACAGATGTGGCGGCGGTGGCACCCCCTCCGACGAAAAAACACATTTCCATTGTAAGGCCAATAGAGACTTGCTCTCAGGTCAATTTTAGTGCTTCCAAAAAGCGGTTGTGCGGTTTTGTTTTACTTCTTTCTTGGAAACTCGCGCGCGCACGGGAAAAAATATTTCATTAGCGGCGCGTAAACTGCTTCAAGATTTATGCTTCGACAAAAGAGGATTAGGCTTCTCATCATTTCCGCGACAGCGAACGAAAATGAAAAGAAAAATTTTAAAGATTGCTAAGTACGCGCGATGCCACGTGTTCGCTTTTTTTCTGAAACTGAGCGAGCGCTCGTCGATAAAATACGTGCATGAGCGTTGTGAAAAGCGATAAAGCGGCATTAATAAGCGAACGTCGGAAATTGGTTCCACTGCCTGCCTGCCATTCACTTTCAGGCGACAGCATATGTAATTTCGAATAAAGTCATAACATTGTTTTCAATGATAATTTATATGAGTGGAGCAAGTGTGGCGGCGGGATGACGATTCGACCTTTCATGATAACCGTCTTATACGGATAGCCGCAGACTGAAGTGCAAAAGCGAGAGAGAATTAAGAGAAAATAGATTAGCGGCGTATCTGCTCCATTCAGCCTAATAAATATCCGTAACGTGGTCATTTCATAACGACTGCGATAGTCGTAATAAGCGCGGGACAAATTGTAAAAGTTTATTGCTTAAACAAACATTTTTCGTAAAAATACCTCTTTGGTCATTTATCACTGCAAACAGATCACGTGTATCTAGAAAGCATTTACTTTTCAGGAAATTCTCACCTACAAACTAAAGGAATATCAAATTAGCTAAATGAGCGGAATGCGGCAATGAAAATAAAGAAATAAAAAAAAAAAGAGGCGATTCAAAGGAAAAACTGTTTTGCTGCCGGGCTGATAAAACGTTGAAATATTTGTATAATCGATGAAACTGAAGCGCGAATCGGATTAAGTAATTCTTGACGACAATGAACTTGGATCGTTCCCGCGTGCTCGGGCGAGCAACGCAATAATCGATTTACGCAGTTACACTCTATACGACACATGTCGGAATTACGTAAGCAATCGATTACACGTATGCAAAAACTCGGCACAAAATCACGGCTTCGCGTATGATGCGGCAGCGAGCGGCAAGATGTCAATGAATCGCATGTTTCGAGCTGACTTACGCAATGATTATTTTATCTCAGACAATGAAGCTCTCAATGAATTTTCATAGTTCGGGCATATCGTTATCAGGTTGCGCCAGCAAGCAAAACCAGGCCGAGGGATTCTTTCACATTATTTATTTGGCAGAGAACATCAAACGAAAGTGCGGAGAGATATTCATCAGAAGGAAGATATCGACTTTATAAGCCTCTCCTCCCTGTCCTTTGTGTTTACAGGGCGCAAAATTTAGATAAAGAAGAAAGAGAAAGAAAATGAAAAATCCCAACACGTGGCTTAACGCGCGCGTGTGGCACTTAAAAATCCGTCCAACGACATCTGGGGCCTCTGTTAAAAATATTTCACTCGATGCCTTCTGTTTTTGTTCAGTCTTTTTAGACACAGACATCCAACGAAAGAGAGAGGGAGAGCGAGAGAGACCTATGTGCCACTCGCGAACTTGTTGCCTCCGGTCAATCCTCTCTCTCTCTCTCTCTCTCTCTCTCTCTCTCTCCATTTGTCGTTGCTGTGCTTACAATATTAATTTCATTGTTCTTTGAAAATATCACATGAAAGCGGTCATGCTTTGACTTTTACATTTTTCCTAACCGGATTGGCATTTATCGCCTTTGCAACATTGTAACGATATCTATCACAATAAAAAAATAACAAGCCGTGCGTATAGCATTTTACTCGTTTATTTACAAATTTCAGAAGCAAGTTTAACTTATCTTTTTCAACCACGATAAAAGTCATTCGATTCATTTTTAGAAGTAATCTCAGCAAAAAATGCGACCTACTTACATTTTCTTTTTCAACGTCTGTTCGATTCAAATTATCTTTACAATTATTCTTCAGATGAGTAAATGTCAAAATTATGAATTTTATGTGATTCTTTCTCGCGTTACATTACGATTTCGCTCTTGAATACATGATACATAAGATCAGAAGATAAGTTTTTCAGTTAAAAAAAAAAATTAATTAAACAGAAAGTAACACTAGTAGGTTCGACAATGCTCATCCATCATGTACCGAGAATGTTCTATCTGTGTACAAATTTCCACTAAAGATTAACCAAAGTATTCAACATAAAAAAAATTTCTTGACGGGTGCACATCATTTTTCGCAATTTCTTGTACATACACACAGCTCGTAATAATAAGAAATTTCATATCGTTATAAATCAGTTTGCTCGTTGTAATAGCACAACTCGCATGGCAAATCGACGTGTCGGAAAGGTATTGCAAAGAGAAATGTCACGAAGCTTAAGCATCTTGGAAATGGCATACGTCGTACGATGTAAGCATTGGATCGTCGCGCGACTGGTCATAATATATGAGTATATATCGCCAATGATAAATAACGGCTCGCATTATCTGTCACGCGTCGACATTAGCACTCGCGTACACGATTATGCCTCAGCGTACAATGCAACTGTCTGCGCACATACGTAATGATAGTCCATTACCGAGCGAGAAGCATACGTTGCTACTCCGCGTGAATTTTCGCCAGATACATACGTACGTATGCTGCGGTTGCTGAAGAGCTCTCATCTTTTTGATCTACCCCAATTAACATTTTGCTACAGCTTCGACAACGAAGTTTCACTCTTTTCGCTGTGTCTAAAATTAGCTATTTCCGGTATCTCCGAATCTGTCACTCGACAAAGTTGGATTGATAACGAATGGAGGACTTTTTTCTCAAATATTAAAAATAGCAATGATAAGTGCTATACTAACAATGGGAGTACGTTTCAAGATTATCGAGACTACGTACCATGCGATACGTAGGTTATACTTGATGCTTGCGAAGCGAGATTAAAATTAGGTCTTATTCCACAGCCCGATAATCACTGAATTATATGTTGGTTTTGCAGAGGGACGAAGGTATTTCAAATAAATTAAAAGTTTACGATCGCGAAGTCACGAGTCGATGAGTCGACGTAATAAACCCATGAATCAAATCCCGCGTTGCTATGACAAAAGCTTTTGTTTTATCTGCACATTATTCAGAAAAGCCAAAACGCTTCGGGAGATCGAGTCGTGCAGTCTCGCGATGAAAATATCCGCTGCAGGCGCGGCCAGCTCTCGAGCAAGCGAGTTGATCCGGCGATATATAGATTTTGGGCGATTTGCGAGCGGAAATTGATAGAATAAGCAAAAGGCCGGTCGCCCGAACAAATTATCGGCTCCGCAGTGGCGACGACGGTGGCAGATGTGTCGCTGGCTGGTGTATTTTAGAAGCTCGTCTCTTCGTTAACGACTGCGCAAGGAACGAGCTGCGTCGTCTCCTACCAGCCTACAGTTTGACGGGCGCGCGTGCACATCAATTCCCCTCTCCCTCCCCCCAAACAAATTGCCATGCCGCTTTCACAGCTCGATAATAGAAACCGTGTGTTTTGCTATTGTTGCAGGCTAAGAATGTCCTCTAAGAGGAAGTCGCCACCAACGAAGCTATCGGAGGGCGGGGGCGGTCAACAGCAGCAGCAGCAGCAGCAGCAGCAGCAGCAGCAGCAGCAGCAGCAGCAGCAGCAGCAGCAGCAGCAACAGCAGCAGGTGTCAGTGGCGAGCGCCGAAGAGGAGGAGGAAGCGATCGGTGAGCCGAACCCGGGCAACGCCGGCGGCAGCAGCAACCACTGCGCAGACGACTCGCTGGCGAACCACTCGAGCGTGAGCGAGCTCGAGGAGTCATTGGCAGCCACCCGGGCTAAGTCGGCGGCGGGGCACTACTCGTCCGGCTGCTCGTCCCCCGTGACGACGAGCGAGCCCGAGACCTGCTCGTCGCCCTCGCCCAACTCGCCCAAGCGACCGAAGCTGCAACTTCTGTTGGGTGCGGCCGTGGCTGGGAGTGCCACCGACGGCAGCAACCTGGCGCCCGGCTACCAGCACCACCTGCACCTCCACCATCGCCACCGCCACCGGACGAGCTCCTCGCCCGCGACCCACGAGGCCCAGAGCTCGTCCGAGTGCGGTTCGCCGCCGGCCAGCCTGCCGCCCGACCATCCCTACTACCCGCACCACCACAACAACAACACCGTCACGCAGAACAACAACAACAACAACGGCAACGCCGTGAACGCGGCGGGCAAGCGCTCCATGGACGACGTCCTCAAGAGGCTCACCGGCAAGGCCAGCAGCGGCGCCCTCTCCGTCGACGAGCCCAACTGCAGGCGGACGCCCCCACGCTCGTCCACACCCACCAGTCACAACACCCACAGGTACTGTGCACACGCAGCTCACAGCTTTTCGATCGATCGAACAACGACAATGTTTACCTGCGCCGTTCGGCAGTCCGTCAAGCCGCAGCTCTGACAACGGTCCTAAGCCTTTTTTACGCGTCTCCAAAGTAGGTTTAAGTGCAATGTCCGGCGAACTCTTCGAAAAGCAACGGCAGATACCGAGTGGCGCGATTCGTCTACGAAATCGGCGAAAGAGGAAGGCCCGTCGATTTTGGAATTGCCAAGAAAAGAAGCAGCAGGAATCGAGACGGGCGATTTTATCGCGGGCACGATAAAAAGTGCGCAGAGTCCGGCGTATGGTAGACGATAAGCAATTGGGCAGTTTCGTTCTGACGCGCTATCGTTCGTCCGAGAGGCGATAGTCGCTCCTAAAATATACTTGAATCGAAAGAGTGTCTTAGGCCAACAATGATGTTCAAACAGTCTCCGTGCGCGTCGTACGAGCGCAGCGGTCTCTGTTTATCGGGCGCCGGAGTGTATAATATTTGGGCCAGCCAGAGAGAGATTATTTTTACGCGCTCGATGTCGGGAAAAGCAGCTGTTGATTGTTCGAGTGAATCTACAAATGATAACTGGTTCTCTTGGTGCCGGTCGGAACGAAACTGCTCTGCGAGGAGTCGTCGCAGGTCGAGAGAAGCGCGCAGCTGGCAGTGAGCTCGAGCGGAGGTGCAGCATTTGCCAGCGACATAAATAAAATTCGCCGAGATTTAATTGATCCATTACTCTTCGATATAAACTCATCATCGCGAGCGGCGAGCGGCGAGCGGCGAGCGGCGAGTGGCTCGCTGATAAAACGAATTTTGACACGCGCAGCGCGCTTGGCAAGCGTTACGGCCACGAGAGCCGCGCGCGCCCGCTGCACTACAGAGCCGCTGGCGCCGAGCGTTCGTACCGACAACAATGCTTTACCCCTCGGCGGCTTCTCGCCTCGATTGAGGCCATTTTGATTAACGGCGTGCGATGTTCGATGCTGCTTTCTGGCTGCACTCTTGAAATCCGAGAATAGTGCTGCTGCTCGCGCCTCCCGCCTCCCGCCTCCCCGCCTCGCTTCTCGAACTTTTGTTCCGGCTGGCTCCGATCGTTCAGCTGCCTGGATATTTTCTAACAAAGCACGATCTGCTGTCACTGTCAATCCGAACAAAGATAACGCGCGCTGACAATTGGCTCTAAGTATACTCGGCCTTTTTAACGAGCTCGTCCAAGTAATATTCGAAAAACGGAAAGGCAGATGAGTTTATCGAATGATCTTGGGCTTTTCCTTGTTTACCGTACGACTGTAACGTATGCGCGAGTTGTGTCGGTAGCTTTGGAATAGTACGCGCGGCATTATCAGTCCGCGGCAAGATCATAAAAAGTGACGGACAAGCCGGCGTATGCACAATGTATAGCAGCCTCTGTGCTCATTCGAGTGCGTCGAGTATCTGTGGAAGACGATGCGCGTTGCTTCCTTTTAAACGGCCACTTCAATTACGCGCCGAGCTCTAACTAGCTTCCAAAAAAGTCCAGATTTCACGCGCGGCGCTCAGGACACGAATGCCAGCAATGAGGCGGCAAGCCGTCACGCTTCTAGAATCGCATTAGAGCTCCTCTCGCGGTGCGACGACGACAAACGGCAATTTGTCTCAGTTCGTTCCGTACGTCGGAAAGTGTAAGTCCCCTTGGCTTTCGGGCCTCGGCGCGGTAATAATAACAGACGAGCCACACGAACGAAACTCGCTGGCGACGCTTATCTCGCTTGCCCCAGTCTATTATACGGCTGCTGAATGGCACGCCGTACAATACGTGTAAGCCAGATGATTTTTCCCTAATGCTCGCGGCAAAAGACAGCAGCCAGTGTTGCGCGGCCGCGCGGGCTTGGCCTACTTTCTTCTCGCGTCGGCGGGCTTTACACTCGGGGATTACCGCGGGGCTCTGCCGCCGACAATTGTCGGTTGTTCGGCGGCGTTGCGCGATCGTCGCGTATCGAGGCGAGAAAATCACATCCGGCAAAGACGAGCAGTCCGCCAGACTTGGCGTTTGGCAAGTGGCTAGGCTGCAAAAGAGATGGCGCGGAGTGGGCTAAGGAGGTAGCAGGCGCCACCGGCGGCACTTCCAAACTCGTCAAAGTGACGCACGTCAGCGAGAGAGAGAGAGAGAGAGAGAGAGAGTACGAGTTTCGCAAGGCTCGCTGTTGATGCACCTCTCGCGAAAGAGACTGAATGCCGCGCAGCTGATGCGGCGGCACGGAACGCACACTGGCCTAGATCGGGGCTTGCCAGCAGCACGAGCGCGCGGGCAAGCCGACTGCGAAGGACTTGCTAGCCTTGCGCGCGCGTCGCGCCTCTTGCGCGTCGGCTCTTACTCTCCGGCGACGCATGAAAAAGAGAGGAGAGCGAAGATGGAGTCTACCGCCAGCACAATGGGGCCGAGCGCATCACTTATTCGTGCTCCGCTTTCTAAAAGAGAGCCCGCGGCCGGCCCCCGCGCCCTCGGCCCTCGCCTATCCAGCGGCCGCGTGTCATCAGCCGCGCAAACAGCAGCCACAGATTGCCAGCACCCGCTACCCTATCTATTATTCACTCGGCACACCGCAAGCTCGGCCATCGAGTGCGCTGCTTATACTTCGCTCTCTCTCTCTCGCCTTCCTTTTTCTTGTAGGCGCCCACCTGTACTGTCACCGACTATCTTATTGTGCTGGATAAAACGCTTCTTTCAATGAACCCCTCGATGCTGTCTTTTTGTTTTTGTTTTTTTTACAAAGTACATTCCTCCAATTCCCTCTCTCTCTCTCTTCCAGTTTTTTTCGCTTCTTCTCTCTGTTTCATGCGATCAATTATTCCATTTTTCGAAATTTACCTTCCGAGTGCTTCGTGCTGAATATTTTAAAAGGATGGCGCGTGAGTAAGCGAGCTTTTAATTTATTGCGAGCGCATAGGCAGCCGACGTCAGCATCATTTTATTTCAAAATGAATGTTTGAATGTAATCCCGGCCAAAAGCGGCCTTTTTATTAATTGCTTTGCTCAAATAATTTTCGCATAAGTATTTTAACGCTGTTGGTTTTCATCCGCGCATAGAAGCATGCTCTAGAATATAAATTTTTAAAATGCTGCAATTAAAAATGTACATATTTATGCTTGGTAAACCCAAGTAATTTTTAAGTTTAAAACGACAATCGAACCACTACAATTTTTAACGGATTTTACTAAGATAACGAACCCTCGCCTGTCTTCCAACTTTTGCACAGGCGATCATTTGCTTGGTGCGATCAAATCAATAACATTGATTTTGTTGTCGTTCCTTGCAGTAGTAGCAGTAGCGTGGCGAACAGCGTGGTACCGTCGCCGACGGGATCAGGCCGAGTGGCGAGCAGCGAGGCGCCAAGTCAGCCTGACGGGGCGGCAGCAGCGCTGCAACGGGCACTCGCGGGTGAGAGTATCGTCGAGAAGGAGCGCAGGCTCACCGAGATGATCGTCCAGCTGCAATACCTTAGAGATCAACTGGTACAACTGCAGCAGGATCCCTCCAAGGTACGTTGGTCACATTCACTTGCATTCAGACTCTTCGCGTTGGCGCGCTACCGTCACGGTTGATGAGCGACAACCTATCGTTTGTCTAGATGTTTCTCAAGACTATTTGCTACAAATGCATACGTATGCGCCTTGATGGGATCAAATGTTACAATCGAAAATAAGTTCGGCTTCAAAATAATGCAAGCCAAATCCAAGCCAACATGGTCTCCGTAAAACTGAATGAAATTTATAGTAGTTTGTGTATCTAGCCAAGATAAAAATCGAGTTGACGTTGAGTCTGTAAAATAGTACGCGTCGCGTCATAACAGTCGGAAAAAGAAAAATAAGGAGAAGGAGCACGGTAAGGGCTATAAACAGGTGAACGCGAGTATATAATGAGGGGTAGGCCAATCGGATGTTGCGGAAGGAAGAAAGTCTCCGGTTCAGGCTGGTTTACATGTGTCCGATTGAAATATCACAGCCGATCGTATAATACCGGTGAGATAACACATAACACGAATACGAGTGTACGCGCGCGTGTGTGTATGAGTGAGTGTGAGAGAGAGAGAGAGAGAGAGAGAGAGAGAGAGAGAGAGAGAGAGAGAGAGAGAAGATCCAAGATAACTAAATATACGTTTCTAGATTTATTGATCCGCGAGCCTGTTCCAACTCGGCCTCTGTGTCCGCGTGTGCGTCTGTGTGCACGCGCCTGTGTGCACAATCTCGCGCGGCTTAGAATTGTATCAGTCCATTTTGGACCAAACGCGCGCCAGAGCTGCGCATATTAATTCGTTATAATCCTCTCTCTCTCTCTCTCTCTCTGCTTATTCTGGGATGGGTTTGCCGTCTGTGCCCTCGTTGTTGCGCGCATTTGCAATCTCGTCGCAAGCTCTCGCACGGGCGACTTGTTTGTCGCGCGACAATCGCGAGCTTTCGCGTTGCGCGGCGCGCGTCCGCTGGCCAGGAGCGCAGTCGAGGAGGTCGGCCGAAAGAAGAACGGAGACCGGCGCATACCGCCAAGCCGCCAAGCCGTTGCAGGCCGAACGCTTCTCACGGGCCAAGGAATTTCCGAAGAAAGTCAGCATCGAGCTCATTCGGGGAAGAAGGAGTCCGTTGCAGGCTGCGCACTGGCTGATAATGCTCGGCAGGGAAAGAGAATAGGCGTAATAAGGAGCTGCGGTGCGATCGGAAGGAAAGGATTGCCGGGAGCCAACAGCGGGCTAATGACGCGATGTATTATCTGCACGCGCTCGCATGTCTGCTAATGCGCCGGGCCGCTCCATTCTCCATCCGATGTGCGCTGCGCTGCGCGCGCGCGATGGACTGCGCGTACGCGCAGAATTATATCGCGAGAAAACGGAGCCGGCTAGGCTGCTCCCTTGTTTTCTCCACGCGATTCCGTAGCACGCCAATCTCCATCGCTTCCAAGCGATTATTACTTACTGCGATCGAGACATTCCTCAACGATGACCTCATCTCTCTCGCATGCGTAACGTTTGGATCGCAGATGAAACGTCCATCTGTTTGCAATGCACGCCTTGCACGCTGGAAAATTGTTGGGAAGCTCGTTTTTAACGACTATCGAGAAAACCGTCACGGCAATGCGGGATTCGCTGTCGGCTTCTAATCCGTATCTCGAAAGCCACTTTTCACCGGTATATCTCTTCGCATGTGCTAGCATCCGCGCGACGCTGCGTGACACGCTTCGGCATCGCGTCAAATCAAACATGCAACGCGTGGTCGCATGTTGTGTACCTTGTGTGCTTTCAAAGCCAAAGTGTATACGTATTGTATGTGAAATCAAGAGTTGTTGGCACGCCAAGAGAGCAGAAAAAAAAACGTTCAACTGCAATTTTCAATAATGCACGTATATACTTTGCAATGTGGTACGAGTGGTCGAAAGAGGAAAAAAAACAACACGTATGCAAAAATAGCAAGAATTAAAATGAACAAGGCGTAGTATAATTTTGCAAATGAAACAGCCACGAAACATTGAGAATTGTGCAATCATTTCTTATTTTTGAATTGTCGTCTCGAATGCCATGGTCCGCAAAAAACTGGTAATTGATATTCTTATAAAGACATCTTGCGTCTCGGACGTGTTTGTTTGAAGAATCGTTTGCATTATGTCGCTATTGAAGCAGTTTTTTTTCGTGCCAGCGGACGTAAATAGCTGCCTAGCACCTTTTAAAACGCGACCTTTCCACGACGGCCAAAGAAATTCCAGTTTGCAACGCACCGAGCTTGACGGATGTCAGGGTAAACTGGAGTCAATAAAGTGGTCGTGGTTTACGGTCGACTTGAAAAAAAGACGGATGGACGCCGAGAACAATGGCATTCGGTTTTCGTAACGACGCAGAGCTGCAAACGCTCGAAAGGCCGTGGTGGCAATGGCGGCGCAGGCCGCTTGCGACGGCGGCGAGCGAATTTCGCGTTCGCCATTTTATCGGCGTCGGCGAGGGGAACAGAGGTTTGCAGTAGCAAGTCCACGCGGCGCTTTCTCGAGCCGAGGCTTGCACAATGCAGCTAAGCGGCACAAAGCTGCGCGCGCGAACGCCGCGGCAGAGTGGGTAAGCGGCGCGAAAGAGCTGGTCGGGAGTAGCGCGCGAGCCGGAGCCGCGATCGTTGGCGCGTGGCGAGGGAGCGAGTCGCGCCGACGGAAAGCCCGAGGAGGAAAATCGGCGAGCCGCGCCGAGAAGGCAAGAAAGCGCGCGAAACGGGGAGAGTGGCGCGTGTCGCAGGAGGAACGAGGGGGGCGGTCTCGTTTTTCTCCTCCTCTCGGGCTGCCAGCGAGCGCAGAGGGCTTGGCGCTGCGTCGCTCAACTCGCCTCTCCTCGAGTGGGGATCTCCCTCTCTCTCTCTCTCTCTCTCTCTCTCTCTCTCGCTGTGTTTTCTTGCTCTCCCCTTCCCCTCGCCTCTCCTCCCACCTTTTCACCTGTTATGTACGCGCTGCACGCAGGTGTGCCGCGCACTACCACCGCGGCGAATACGACGTCCTTCTCGCCGGCCCGCAGCGCCGCTCGCATTTTCCTTGTCGCCATCGATCGACCATCCTCGCATCGCCTCGCCTATGCCGTTGTTACGCCGCTGCTGCTCCTAGCCGTCACGCCCCGACACAATATTCCCGAGTTTCAATTCCATATCGCGCGCTCGCGACGCGCCCATATTAACACTAACAGCCACTCTTGCGTTATCTATACTCGTTTGCGCACTGGCATTTCATTTTTCTACGGTTTTCTGCTGCGATAATTAGCTTTATTCGTCTTATTCAGACGCTACCTCTATTCACCCGCATCACGGCAAATATTTACCTGCTTCTCGCGTTCCGCATAGTAAATGTTTTCGTATCGAGCTCGTTATTGTTATTGACAGTTGTTGTAAAAGAGATCAGGCAAATCCATACGTCATTTAGCGAATGGAGAGTAAATTGCCTCGTCGCCGTATTGCATGAATATTTGCAAAACGCGAATGCGAAAATAAATGGGGCAGCGGCGATTGCCAACTGTACGCGCGCGCGTATATTTGGCCGAAAGCGCTACAATGCGCAAGAAAAAATAAAAAGAAAATAACGGCGAGGCAACATGTGAAAGTTGGTGCGGCTGAGCGCGAACAAATAGCACGGGGCTCGTGCGCAATCAATGCCGCGCGCGTCAACGTTATAAAAATGCCCTCGAAATTCGGATATCCCGCGGGCCGGGCGCAAACAACGCCCGGCGCTCGCGGAAAACAGAGTCGAGCGCGCTAACAAAAACGCCCACGTATGATAGACTGCAAATCTGTTTTGAGTGCGGATCAGCGAATACGCGTTTCGGGTCGAGCGAGCGCCTCGTCGTTATTATTCCCTCCCGTACAGGCGCGCACGGGGCGCGGGGGAGCGCCCGAGAGAGAGAGAGAGAGAGAGAGAGAGAGAGAGAGAGAGGGAGAGAGAGGGAGAGAGAAAACGATCCCGCGAATCCAAAGCGCGGAGTACAAAGGGGAGCAGTCCGCCCGTTTGTCCATTTGCGTGCGCGGCCTCACTCTCTGTCCGTCCGTCTGTCCGTCTGTCCGTCCGTTCGTCTGTCTGTCTGCCGACCTGGCTGGCCGACGCCGCGCGTATGTGTGCTTTATGGGAATTAGCGGTGTATTGTGGGCGGACGCTCATCGCGATGGATTCTCTCCCTCTGGCCGGGCAAACAAATACCACACTGGGCACAGGCTCAAAGCGACAGACGGGAGCATGCAGAAATGGAGATGATACGCGCGCGGGTTTGTCAATTTGTCAAGGGATCACCAAGTATAATCATCGTCCGTTCCTCTCTCGTCGCGCTGTATCGCGCAAGTGTGACAGACACACGTCATATATTCCACCAGCGCATCAATACGGTCTACCTCTCTTTTTCTCTCTTGGCTTACTTGTTTTACGCAACCAATTCAAATCGGACGCACAGTGCGCATTGTATCAAACGTGCACCCGCGGATGAATATCTCTCTCTTTCTCTCTCTGCGATTTTACGTTTCAAAGCCGAAACTCCTCGTTTTTCGTTATGTGTAAACCGATGCGCGTCCGTTCGTTAGTCTACGCCCGTCTACGTGTGTGCCTATACAAAGCAAATCTATATGCGCACAGTTATGAGAGCAGTTCTTTTGGCTTTGACAACTCGTTACGGCCGTCGTCGGGAAAAAGATCGGGGATGCGCAGTAATAATACGTGAAATTGGTTAGGCAAGTCGCCGCGCTTCAGCCAAACAAATTAGCACAATGTAATGAGTACGTAAGAACGATCCGTCATCTCGTACACGGGGTGTCTTAACGAAGGCGCAACTGTCCGTCGAAATTAGCGCGACGTCAGTCTGTAAAGTTCGTCAGAGACAGTGCCCGAAGAAAAGGCGTGCGTAGACGCGCGCAAGCGCTGAATCTCGGCGATGCTCGCGCTGCCTGCCTGCGCCAGAGAGCAAGCGATTCGCGCTACGCGGCGTGCGAGCGCCTGCCCTTTGCACGCCGCGGCAATCGCTCTCTCTCTCTCAGTCTCGCGTCGATTT